CGAGTTTTGAGCAGTGTAGAGTAGCACTTGTTGTTTGTCATTTCTCTGATCACAAATGCAGACATGGTTTTATGTTTATGCGGCACGATGCAACGCGTAAAAAGACAGTATAAGTCATTATAATCCGCAATTATGTCCCCACTGGATGCAACGAATGCCTCGTTTATAAAGGGTTTTAATGTTTTTGTCTCGTCGCTCCGGCCAGACGGCATCACAGTATGGTAGGGGTGTAACATTTCCGTCACACGCTTGAGGTATTCGGCCAATCACAACGCACTGGATAGCTGGCCAATCAGAGCACACCTCGCTTTTCAGACCAATGAGCTTTGTAAAAATCGACGCGTTTCAGAAAGGCGGGGCAATAATGTACAGTATGTGGAAAATAATGTGTTTTTTGAACCTTAAACCGCATAAACACATTTCATTACACCAACTACACCAAATAATGTTCTTTTTAGCAACATCATATGACCCCTTTAACTGCTGTTTTCTTACCACTCATTTTTGTTGTGTTTATTTTGTTATTGAGAAGATAAGTGTTCAGCACATATTCACATATTTATCAAACCATAGTACCATTTTTTTTTTTTTTTTAAATGGGGTGAGGGAAATCATTAATGTTCTGAATATGAATAAAAGTCCTATGGATTTGGAATGACATGAGGGTAAGAAAATGATAATAGAATTTTCAGTTGAATTAATACTTCAGTGTTTTTTTTTTGTGGTTATTTTACATTAAAATAATTGCTTTTTGTATTTCTTTAACTAGCATTTTTGAAAAACGAATGTTTCTAATTCTAATTCTGAATTCAGTTTTTCAGTGTACATTTAGTTTGCATTTAACTTAGAATGATTTCTTCTGACAGAGACAGTAGTTTTGAGTATCTCATATCCGATTCTGTATGTGTGTCTTCCCAGACTCTCCAGGTGGAAATGCAGCCATTAAGAGTGAAAAAAAGACAGAGGGAAACTCTTTCTTTAGCTGGCTGTTGGTGCTGGCTTTGCTGGGGGCTTGGCTGTCTGTGGGTGTCATGTGGTTTGACCTAGTTGACTACAACAGTGTGGTTGGTAAGTTTTTTTTTATTTTTTAAAAACAGTCTTGCAGGAATGTAGACTGCTCACATTTTGTGCTAAAATTATTAGTTTTTTGAACAAACAGATTGTCACCTAAATGATTCATGCAGATCTCTGGAGTGTTTGCGTCAACTTTTTTTATAGTATTGTAAAAGTGTGTGTGTATATGAGAGATCCCCTGAAAACACTCCTTCTGGAAAAAAAAAAACTTTTTACCTGTATTTTTTCTTCATTTTTTTCTTGTATTATTTTTTCCCCTTAATGATTAGTAATACAATTCATGGAAAGATGACAAAATTTAAATATAAAACAAATAGTAAATTATATTGCTTAAATAAAGGGTTGCAGAAACACCCTTGATTGAATACAATAACTGTGCAATGTTTTAGTACTTGGTATGTACTTCATAACTTTAAGTATACTGTTCTTCCCTTCTTGGCATTGAGTGTACAAGTTCATAACAAATTGTCACATCTGTCCTATTTAACTCCAGGAGGACAACCTCCTTAAATGCCCTCCTGTAAAGGGCAGTGTTGCTCAACTTGTCTCTACAAAATCCCCCACAGGTGCTTAAAGGTGCACTAAGCGAATTTTGCCAAATGATGTTGATATTTGAAAGCACCAAAACAAACACGCCCATATCCCAACAGGACCTCGCCCCTATTTTGAAATCTCCACCCCACACATACGTACACAACCCTGGCATAACGACGATCGTTGAAACAAGCGAAGATGACACACACGCATATTCAAACAAAAGCCAACACAGATGAGTTGTGTGAAACAATGCAAAATCAACATTACTCACCTATCACAAAGAAACAACGCAACCTCGGCATTCGATTAGGCCTTCCCGCTCCTTGAGTTCTCTCCACCGCTGGAAAGCTGCTCCGATATTTACGTGGGTCCTACCTCTTGCCTGATCGTAACCCTTCTTTTAAATGTTTTGTTCCTCCGATATTTTCATCTTTTTTTTTTTTATCTTCCAGTTCTTTCTATCTATAGTCGATCTGCTAATATCCGTCCTGTACACTCAAATTGAGTGCTCTCTTCTCTCTATACAAGACACGCCCCCTTACTGCTGATTGGCTGCAAGTGTGTTTTGGGACACAGTCCGACACTGCAGTCAAAAGCGTTTTTCAAAAATTGCTTAGTGCACCTTTAAGAGTGTTAGACGGAATGTCCACCAAAGTGTTTTTTTTCCCCAAGGCTACTGTATTTTGTTTCCCAGTTGTTTTCAATAAGAGCGCCACATTTTTTTAAATGCCAGGAACGTGACAAGGCGCTGAGCGTTTATTTTATGCTAAGTGTTGTGTGCTTGGCATTTTTTTTCTCGCCGATGAGAGTTCAAGAATATTCACCTTTGGGTAAAATGCAGCACTCATCATTGTCACTTTTTAGTCAGCTAGCCAATCACAGTGGAGGAGGGGTGGGACTAATACAACACAGACCAACTGTTACACCCTGCTTGTATGACTAAACACCAATGGAGAACTTAATATTGCTTGTCTCCGAGCTTTCATTTCTTCACCAGATGGAGTTCCCGGACTACCACAATATTGTTATGAAAAAGAATGCTTGGGAGAAGCATGTGTCTGCACTCACAGCTAAGCATTGTCAGTAGAGCTCCTGGCATTCTCAGCTGGTTAAAAATTCTTTGGTGGACACACAGCCTTAGGGTTAAGGCTGTGTGAAATAACACAAGGTTTTACTATGTAAGAAAAGGTTTTTCTATAGAATGTTTTATATATAAGACCTTATTTTAACTATAGCATGAACTGCAAAGTTTAACAAACTTTTCCATTTTCTGTCAGAATCAGACACTTCTGTTGATCACAAAGTGTAAATATTGATTATCTTGTTGCATAGCTTGGTTGATAAAAACTTCTAATTAAATGGTAGGACCAGTAATGATACACACACCAGGTTATAGAGAGGGTCATAAACCATAAATTAATCTAGTTATTCTAGCTGTCTGTCATAATATTGATCATAATAACATGAGATAAATGTAAATGTTTTTTTTAGTTTTGTGCAAATTAGTCTTTGGTTTGCTGATTGATTTGTGAGGGGACAAACAGAATAGAAAATTCCCACCCATCAGGAATCAATGTTTTATTGCCCAAACCAGAGATGTACACTGTTAAGTCATGCTCAGTGTGAATGAGCCTTAACAACCTCATGGTCCATTGTGGATGTAAAAGGATGTACAACAAAAGCACAAACAGGGTCTGGGGCAAGAAATTACGTTTGGAAATGCATTTGGTTTACTGTGTTACTGTGTTGTACCCTCTTTACTCTGCATCTTTACTTGCTCGTTTCACAAGTATTTTCTTTTATCCTTGTTCAATGAAAGGTGCTCTTGGAGGAGTATATGATGCTGATGGCGATGGAGACTTTGATGTAGAAGATGCCAAAGTTTTGTTGGGTGAGTGGAATTTACTTGTGTATGTGGCTTTTTTCCTGCATTATATAAAATGTATATATATAGTTCAGAATTAGATTCAGAATTATCACTGGCATTTGGTGTGGCAGATTTGTTACCAAATTTTGTAAGCATTTTTTTTATTATTATTTAAAAAATAATAATTATGAATGTGGAGACAGAGTGGTCTGTTTATTGGCAGGAAATAATTTCAACTAAAGCTTCATATGACTGTATGCTTTCTACAGTAAACTCACATTGCAGGGTGAAGTGACCCCACAAATTGTCCTGCTTTGCAAGCTTCACACTGATTTGCTCCCAGAATTCGTTGTTACAATCTGTGGATAAAATTAAGTTTTAAGGTTTTTGTGTGTGTGTGTGTTTTTTCTTTTGGGAATATCAGGTAAGTGTAAAGTGTTTGGCTTATATACAGTGATTATTAATACGTGCTGTAGTGTTCTCTACTGATAGTCAGCGTTTATTAAAGCAATAAGCCCCAAGAAGCCATGGTTTACAGTGAATTTATAACAGTTAAGGGGCAGATTTACTTGTGTATGTGGCTTTTTTCTGGCATGACTGACTGAGGTGACAACCCATTCAAAAGTGTCAACTCTTTCTATCTCTCTGTTTTTTATCTCCCTTATTTATTTTGAGACTTAAGATAAGTGGTGTAAACAAGCTTTTTCTGTGTCACTCAATTTAAATGTGAGGATGCCATGAACATGGTAGTATACTCCTCCACTCTCAAATGCAGAAGTGTGTCTGCATTTGAGGTTTCCTGTCATTTGACGGTGTTAGCAAATACTTAGCATGAAACTGTTTGGTTTTGTGTTAGTGAGGCTGGCATCTCATAGTTCTTTTTTTACTGTTATTGACTGTATGCTTTCTACAGTAAACTCACATTGCAGGGTGAAGTGACCCCACAAATTGTCCTGCTTTGCAAGCTTCACACTGATTTGCTCCCAGAATTCGTTGTTACAATCTGTGGATAAAATTAAGTTTTAAGGTTTTTGTGTGTGTGTGTGTTTTTTCTTTTGGGAATATCAGGTAAGTGTAAAGTGTTTGGCTTATATACAGTGATTATTAATACGTGCTGTAGTGTTCTCTACTGATAGTCAGCGTTTATTAAAGCAATAAGCCCCAAGAAGCCATGGTTTACAGTGAATTTATAACAGTTAAGGGGCATTGTTACAACCCCTACAACTCCCTTAGCTGTCATAAATTCACTGCAAACCACGGCTTCACGGGGCTTATTGCTTTTATAAAACGGTTATTCCAAATACGTAATAAGGTTTCACAAAATAAAACAGAGCAAATAAAGTGTAATGCTATTT